AGACTTCTCTAAGATCCGATTCGATGGCTCTGACAAGACCTCTTATATTGGTTTATTTAAATGTATAGTTAAAATGTGATTCTAAAGTAAGGAAATTTGGACTGCACTAAAAATGGACCAAAAGACTTGAACAAGCCGATTGCACTAAAAATGGACCAAAAGATTTGAACATGTGCAGAGAGCTAGCTGTTGAAACTTGCAGCCGGCTGTGGAAGTGCAAAGAGCCGACTCTGGAAGCTGCAGCCGGCTCTACAAGTAAAAATTTGATGTTTAGCCCGCGAAGAAAAGACGCAAAGCTAGCTCAAACTTTGCAATCGAATATGAGGTGCATTTAATGCATAACGGTTGAGTTATTTAAAGATTATTTAATGTATTTAAAGTTGAAATCCCAAAGCCGACTTTATGATTTACAGCCGTTTGTGTAAGAAAACAGAATGTGCAGGAAACCCACAAAGCCGGCTACAGAATGTTTAAGCTAGCTCTATGGAGAAAACAGAATGCAGGAAACCCACAGAGCCGGCTCTAGACGTGCAAGCCAACTGTACTGACAATTCTGCAACTCGAATTAAGCAACCTGCAGAGTATTAAATGACTCCCAATAGCTAATAATGGTTATTTTCAACCATGGGGTTATAAATATGGTTGGTAGAAGATCTAAAGCAAGTTTAGAGAGCATTACATTGAATATCTTTATCTCCCTATATGAGTTTTAACTTGAGTTTTTGGTTTTTGAGAGATTTTTACTTGTAATCCTCTTCTTGTTCTATTTGAATATATTTATCTCCCTATATGAGTTTTAACTTGAGTTTTTGGTTTTTGAGAGATTTTTACTTGTAATTCTCTTCTTGTTCTATTTGTGAGTGATCTTGGGGGTGTGATTATCCTTCAAGAGTGATCTATAGAGAGGATTCTCGGGATTTATCTTGTAAAGGGATGAGATTTGAGAGAAACACCCTTGTTCTTGTAAAAAGATTAAGTGGCTACTTTAAGCCACCCTTGATTTTGTTAATGTGGAGAAAATCCTTCGTGACAAGGTAGAGGATTAGGTTCCAAGTGGTTGGATCAAACCTCTATAAAATTATTGTACAAGTTCTTCTTCCCTATTCTCTCTTTGATTTTTGTTTGGTGATTCCAAAAAGGTGAAAAAATTTTCAACTCCAATTCACTCTCTCTTGGAGAACATTGAGTTGACACCTTTAAGTTCTTTAATCCTACTTTTTTGAACTTTTTATTTTAACTTGCTATGGTTATTTATTTATTTATTTTTCTAGCTTTTGTTTCTTGCCTAATGGGTTTGTCATTCAATCTGAAGCTCAACTTCTAGGAACCACTCATGATCATTGGCAAATATTTAACATTGAAATGAAAGCCACAGTGAAATGGCATCATATGACTGAGCAAGTCATTAAGTGGTTTGAACATTAAACGTGGTGATTGTCGTTTTCATTTTACTATAAGATAGACTTGATCATTTAATGTTTGATTATTGTATCCGTTTTCAGGTTGTGTTTTGGAAGTGGATCATTTAATGTTTGATTATTCTATCATTGGTCGATTGAAGATGAGTTTTATTTGTATTTTCACAGAATTCACCTTCTAATTTGTTGTCTGTATGCATAACTAATTAAATTTTGTATTGTGTTTGGCTGTCATTTTCTTAATTTTATGCTTTCTAATACAATTCTCTTGTTGCTCTAGTGGGGTCTGAGCCTGCATAGGTTTTTGACAAAATAGCTAATTTGGCAAATAAACTAATAATAAAGACATCATGCTATCATCGGTTGATTAAAGATTGATTTGTCTTTTCATTGAATTGACATTTTGCTTTGTTGTCTATATGCATAACGTGTTGATACTTTAATTTCCCCATAATTAAATTTTGTTTTATGTTCGGCTGTCATTTCTTAATTCTGTGCTTTCTAATAAATTCTCATGTTGCCCCAAGGGAGTCCGAGCCTGTGAAGGTTTTTTTTTGACAGAACAGCTAGTCTGGCAAATAAAAAAATAATTAACAACTGTTGTGATCCTAATGAGAAGTGATTGGCCTTGATTGGAATTGGCCTTGGGCCATCGGAGGTATGCCCATTTCTGTTTATTTATATAGCAGTCTATTGATTAACACCTCTTGCTTCATATTAAGATTTGTCTGTTATTTAAAATGGCTGACATGTTTCAGTAATTCTTATTAGGACAATAATAGGCTTACTCTTTGCCGTTACACATTTATCCACACATTAACGAAATCCGTCAAGTACATTAACGAAATTCGTAAAGTACACACCGATCATTTTTCTTCTTTTCCTCCCTCTTTCTTTCTTCTTCTTTTTTTTTTTTCTCTCTCTTGGTGGAGAACCCGACCTGGGTTTTCTGGTGAGAACCCAAACCCAATTTGGTTGGGTTCTCACTAGAGAAATAAGAGGAGAGAGAAAAAAGGGTTGAGTAACAAACACTGTCAGTTTACATAACGGAGATAATTAAGATGTAATAAAATGTGTAACGTTAGAGTATGTACATATCTTTATCCTTCTTATTAACTTATATATTTGATGCATGGTACTGTCTTCTTAAAGAGCAAAATAGTGAATGGATTTCCTTATTTTGCAGACTTTTTTGTTTAATTCATGAGAAACGTGATCTTTTCCTTTAAATAGTATCATATGTTTACATTTTATCCAAAAAAAAAAAAAGTTAGTATCTTCTGTTGGTTATTCACATTCTGTTGCAGATACCAAATTTGGCAAAAGGGATTTTGCAGCTCTTTTATGTGGATCAAAGCATAGTTACGATCTTGAAGCACATGCTGCATTGTTTGCCACATTTAAATTGTATTTTTTTATCCTTCAGTCTTGTTTTGTTGTCTATTATCTTTGGCTTTTGAATTCTCATTTTTGTTTTCTGTCTGTGAACAGGTACCTGGAAATGAGAATCCTTCAAAACTTACTTCTTTTACCACAAAGTCATCCAATGCTGGGAAAATTGAGTCAAAGTTGCATCTTGCATGTGATCGAACCTGTTGCTCAGCCAGGTTTCTTATTCTTCCTTCATTCACTGGTTTCTTCTTTTACAAACATGTGCACAGATAGAGAACTGTTAATTGCTTCATCTGAGAAACATGATTTCGATGCTTTA